ATCTCACTATGCAGCCCAATTTGGCCTCAAACTTAGTATTTCCTGCCTGATTTCCCACTTTAAGACTACAACCCCGTAATAGATTTATGAAAGGAAGATTTCTAATGGGAGCCTTGTGAATGTAGCCTATCAAACCTTAGGTTAATAAAGACAAAGTAAATGGGAATTTTAATAAATGTTATAAAATAGTAAAATGAAAAAAATCTCTTAGTATTCTAAAAACTGGCATATGAGCTCTTTAATCCATATATTCCTTTAATGGTAAATAATATCTCATTAAAACTAAGCATAAAGAGCCCTTTAATTTCATCATACACATTATTTTATACACACAACTGACAAGGACACTAAACAATGAAATAAAAATAAAATATAAAACATTGATAGAAATACAATATAAAATATTTTGGTGCAAAAATCTTTTATTATATTACTACTGTTTCACTTACAATTTTGTCAACATTAGTAAATTTTCTGTTTAAGAACAAGTAGCAAATCAACAGGAAATTTACAAGCAGTTATTATATGACAATAATCCAGGAAACTGAGATATGAGGATCGGGCTTCAAAGCTAGCCCAGGCAGGAAAGTCTTGAGACTCTTATCTCTAATTAATGAACAAAAAGCTGGAAACAGAGCTGTGCTTCAAATGGTAGTGAACCAGCCTTGAGCAAAAAAGCTTAAGGACAGCCTCCAAGACCAGCACTAAAAGAAAAAAAAGCCATGAAGAAAAATGAAATTTGTGTTTGAAGGAAATGGATGGACCTGTAGATCATTATGCTAGGCAAATTAAGCTTGATTCAGAAGGGCATGTTTTCTCTTACATGTAAATGTGAGTTGTAAAAAATAAACACTCATAAACAGGATTGTGTGTGTATGTGTGTTAGTAGTTGTAGGAATGTAATAGGTGATTAGGAGAGAAAAAGAGATTGTCAGACGGTGAACAATACTGAAATACACAGCATCTGAGAATGGTCACTGAAAACCATTGAATAACATGTGTTGCTGGAGATGGGGAAACAAAGTAAGGAAGGTATTGATCTGATAAAATTCTGTATACACTTGTATGAAATACCTCCCTGAAATCCCTTTGAGCAATTAGCATACACTCAAAATATGAACTGATAGAAATATAAAACAGGTCATTTCAAGGGTGTGAGCACTAGTGGGAGGGTGGAGAGTGAACAGAAAGGTTGAAGGAATGGGAATATGTTCACAGTGTTTTAGACACATGTGTGAACATGGAACAATAAACTTGTTCATCTTGATTTGGGAAGGATACCAGAGGCAAAGGGAGATGACAGAAGGGACAAGTCCTATCAAGGTACATTGTATGCATAGACAGACACATCAGAGTGAAACTCCCTTGTACAATTAATTAATGCTAATAAAAATATGAGAAAGCCAGGACTGAGTGCTCAGGCTTGAAATACTAGCTATTCAGGAGCATCACAGTTTAATGCTTTCAGGATCATAACATTCTACAATACCGCACCTGCAAAAGAACCAGTAAAAAAAAAAAAAAAAAAAAAGGTAGAGTTAGAGGTATGGCTTAAGTAATAAAAAAAAAAAAACCAGCCCTCAATAAGTCCAGCTATCACCCGACCCTTAGCTCAAATGCTGGCACCATCAAAAATGATGTGTGTAGTAAATAAAGACAAAGTAGAGAACAATATAAAATTAGTTGGGATAATAAATCAAAGGGTGATTCTAGGAAAAAAAAACTTTAAGACAAGGATGTCCACTCTCTCTACTCCTCTTCAATATAGTAATGGAATTCCTAGTAAAAGAGCAGTAAGGCAAGAGAAAAATAAAAAAGGAATCCAAATAGGGAGGGAAGAAGTAAACCTATCACTTCTTGCAGATGACATGATCCTGTACTTAATGGACCTCAACCCAAGTGACTAGAGCTGATCTAAAACTTTGGCAAAGTAGCAGAGTATAAAATCAACCCACAAAAATCAGTAGCTTTTCTGTATGCCAACATCGAGAAGATTGAGACTAAAATCAGGAAAGCAACTCCACTTGCAATTACCTAAAAAACAAAACAAAACCAAAACCCTGAAAATTAACTTCACCAAAAGTTCAAAGGACCTCTATAGTTGAAAATGTTACAATTTGGAAAAAGGAAATTGAGATTTAAGGAAATTTAAGAACTTTCATGCTCCTGGGTTGGAAGAATTAACATCATAAAAAGGACAAAACTACCCAAAACCATTTACAAAATCAATGCAAGAGACTAACAGCATTCTTTAATGCGATAGCAAAAGCAATCCTAAAATTCATATGGAATAACAAAAGGCCCCCAATAGCAAGAACAATCCTTAGCAGGCAAATAGTGATGGAGGAATAATAATACCAAACTTAAAACTCTATTACAAAGCCATAGTAATGAAAACAGCCTGGTACTAGCACAATAAAATAGGTCTGAGGATCAGTGGAACAAAATAGAAGACCCAGAAATGAACCCAGACATATAGCCATTCAATAAGGGAGCCAAAAATACAAGCTGGAAGACAGTCTCTTCAACAAATGGGGCTGGCAAAACTGGATATCCATGTGCAGAAAACTGAAACTACATCCTCATATTATGCAGCATCAATTCAAAATGGATAAAAGATCTCAATGTAAGACTAGAAAACATGAAACTTTTACAGGTTAAGGGAAATACTAGGGCTCCTGGGCACAGGTTAAAACTTTCTAAGTAAAAATTCAAAAACATAACAAATAAAAGGAAGAATTGATAAGTGGGATTGGCATGGCAAAGAACATACCTAACAAGCTAAATAGAAAGCTTACAAAATGGGAGATTTATTCCAGCTATCAATCAGACAAGGGCCTAATATCTAGAGCATAGAGCTCAAAAAATTAAATCCTCGAAAATTAAGGTCTCAAAGAAACAACAACCCAATTAATAAGTGGGCTAATGATTTAAAGAGAGACTTTTCAGAAGAAGTAAAAATAATCAAAAGATACATGAAGAAATTCTCAACATTTGTGGTTATAAAAGAAATGCAAATCAAAACAAGATTTCATCATTCCAGTTAGCATGGCCATCATCAAGAAAACAAACAGCAAATGTTGATAAGAATGTAGCCAAACAGGAACTCCAATACAACTGTTAGTGGGAATGTAAGCTCGTTCAACCACTCTGGAAAGCAGTATGGAGGTTCCTCAAAAAAAAAAAAAAAAAAAAACTAAACATAGCTGTGTGCTGGTGGCTCACACCTATAATCCTAGCTTCCCAGAAATCTGAGAACTGAAGATCATGGTTCAAAGCCAGCCTGGGCAGTAACATCTATGAGACTCTTATCTCCAATTAACCACCAAAAAGCAGGAAGTGGCACTGCATCTCAAGTGGTAGAGCTCTCCTCTTGAGATGAAGAGCCCAGGGACAGTGCCCAGGCCCAGAGTTCAAGTCCCATAACTGACAAATAAACAAACACAGAACTACCCTACCAACCCATTGCTGGGCATTTATCCAATAAAAAGTCAACAAGGTTGAAGTAAAGCCATCAGCACAACCATGTTCATTGCAGCACTAGTCACCACAGCCAAGATATAGAATCAGTTCAGATGCCCTTCAACGGACAAATGGATCAGGAAAATATGGTATACACACACAATGGAATTTTACTCACCTATTTAAAAAATGATACTGTACCATCCATAAGGAAATGGACTCAGAAAAAGTTATGTCAAGTGAAGTAGGCCAGACCCAGAGTAACAAAGGTTTCATAGTTTCCCTCATTTGAATTAGATAGAATATACCTATAAATTTATAAGAAATTCACTGGGTTGTATACAAGTGGTTACAAATGAGTTAACTAATGTATAATAAACTTTTTGGAGAACTCAAATAATATAATCTTGTAGAAAGGCTAGATCTAAGCCCAACAAAATTAACACTAGGAAATGGTACTTCCAAGAGCAGGGGTGGAACCGGGGAGAGGGGAAGACAAATGAAGGAGAGAAATGAGGAAGAATGCAGTCAAGAATTCACTATACATACCACATCACTAAGAAAATGGAAGGGATAGGTCAAGGGGTGGTGGTGAAAATGTTGAAGGGGTGACACTGATCAAGATCAATTGTATCTATAAACTGCATTGTCATATGGCACTTCCTTTGCACAACTACTTAAAGATAGTTTAAATATTTTCTAAAACATTAATAAAATTTTGACAAATCTGAGGAAGAAAAAATTTACTTAAATACTATAAATAGAAATAAAATCAAACTCTAAGTCATGAAAATAGTATTCTAGTCCAAGTACACTATTTTTACATAAAGGAAAGGGTTTAAAGGGTTTTTTTTGTTTTATTTTATCCTTTTTGGGTTTTTGAATCTTGGTCTCACTACGTATGTAGCTCAGTTGGCATCAGATTCACCATCCTCCTTTCTCAGCTTCCTCAGTTAGGAGATTATAGACAAACACATCAATGCCATGTTTAAGAAAGAAGATTTCTAATAGGATACCTCTGAATGTATCCAAACAAAATCTTGAGTTGGTAAAAAGTAAATCACCATCTTAAGTTACACAATATCCAATAAAATTAAACAAGTCTCCTTAAGGACTCTGAACATAGAAACTCTTTAAGCAATATATTCACTTTAAAAAGCAAATAATTTCTCATTAAAAGTAATAAGAAGACCATTAACTTCTTTTTTTTTTTTTTGTCGGTCGTGGGGCTTGAACTCTGGTCCTGGGTGCTGTCCTTCAGCTCTTCAGCTCAAGGTGAGCACTCTACCACTGGAGCTACAGCGCCACTTCCGGTTTTCTGGTGGTTTATTGGAGATAGGAGTCTCACAGTCTTTCCTGCCCGGGCTGGCTTTGAACCGTGATCCTCAGATCTCAGCCTCCTGAGTAGCTAGGATTACAGGCATGAGCCACCAGCGCCTGGCACCATTAACTTCTTTATATCTATAAGTGGCAATCATAATTTCTGGACAAATACATAAATAAGACAAAATGAACACAACTGGCAGGGACACTAAATAAAAATTAAATTAAAACATTTTATTGATGGAAAGAATATAAAAAACACCTTTTTCGCAAAACATTTTTACTGTAATTGTTGTTTTACTCATAATTTTAGCAACATTAATAAAAATTTCTGACATGACAGCAAGTACACAAGAAACTTCACAAGGCTTTTAAAACAGTAATCTAGATATTCAATGTATGTATCAACAAAATAAAATAACAGTGCTTAAAATTATATAGTACTATCAATACAATTGTATAGTACTATCAATACAAAAACAGAAGCTCCTGAAAGACTCAACTGAAAACCTAAAAAATGTAACACCATAATATCCAGCAATATCACTCTTGGGCATAGATCTAAATATTCTACATCAAGACGCAATAGAGTTACATACACAACCATGTTCACTGCAGCAATACTAACAATAAGCTATGGAAATAGCCTAGGTTTCCTACCACTGATGAGTGAATCAAGAAAATGTGGTATATATTCACAATTGATATCATAAAGAATAAATTTTCCTCATTTTAAGGGAAATATAACTGGAGATCATTATGTTAATCAAATTCAGTGAGCTTCAGAGGGGCAAAATTAAAGCAATTTTTGTTCATTATATGAATGCCATATCTTAATGAGAAACATATAAACAAATGGAATCATTTAAATTTGTGTGTTTAATGTTTGTAATTATGGTACAATTCAAGAGGATCAGAAGATTGAAAAGAATTCTAGAGGGTGAATACTAAAATATATGGCATCTGTAAATAAAGATAGCAAAATACTGAAAGCTGTTGATAATGGTGGGTAGAGCAAATGGAGAAAGTGGAATCAATCTGATTAAATTCTATATAGCATGTGGTATGATATACCACAGTAAACAGCATACACTAAAAAAAATGTTGAGAATGTAAAATAAGTCCTGTCTGGGATGGATGCACTAGTGGGAGTGGAGAGGGTAAACAAAGAGCTTTAAGGAGGATGAATATGGATAAAATACTTGAGGTATTTTGTGTGAAATATACATGTGTGAAAATGGAACAATGAAGCTTGGAGAACTTTTTCATGGAAGTGGGTAGGGTATAAGGGAGACTGATGGAGAGGGCAAGTCTCATTAAGATATATTGTATACATATATGAACTTTTTGAAATAAACCAGTTGAAAGAAATGATGCAAATAAAAATGTGGGGATATCAGTGATTCACTTTTGTAATTCTCAAGAAGGTAAGATAAGGACAACAGTACAGAAAAGTTCACATGACTCTATTTCCAGAAGAAAACAGTGAAATAAATAAATAATATAGCACTGGAAGTGTGTCTCAAACAATAGAGCACTGGCCATGCAAACAAGCATAGCTATCACAGAGCCCTGAGTTCAAACATTGGCACTGCCAACAAAAGTGACAGCATAAAGTGGCAGTATAGTATAAAGATAACTAAAAATCAGATGAAACTGAGTGAGGGTGTCTACCCATCAAGTAAGCATATGTAGGAAATTAATTTTTTAACTTTAAAAATAATTTTAACTGCACTGATCCAAACCACATGTAATAGTCTGCAAATAACAGACTTTCTGTATACAACAATTATAACAACATTTCAAAAAACTCTGATGTCAGAGATTTAGTATGTTTAAATAGCTGGTAAACACTAAAGTCAATAATAATAACAAATACAACTACTCCTCCTGGGCTGAAGCCATAATCAGTTAGTCCCCAAAAGAAATAATTTTGGTGCTACTGGATAGTATGTAATTGTTATCTTTAATTTCATGTGGTTTTGCTTTAGGCTGAAATACTGGCTTTTAGCTTATCAAAAATAGAAGCCCTGGGTTATTCTGAAATTTTTCTTTTAGAGCTAAGGGAGATGGTTCAATGTCAGATGTGTTCACAGTGATAGATGATGCTGTCCTTGATCCTGGCTGAAAAGGACCCAGGGACACTTGAATAACTACTTAGGTCTCAGGAGGCAATCCTAGTTGCTTAGGCTTCTTAAATATTTGGTGACACAGGGTCTTGTGCTGTATTTTCCCCTTGAAAGTCAGAAACTGTAGCCTACATTTTGAAAACAGGTAAACCTACTTTTCTCAATGCCCCTATAATGACACATACATGCACATACAGTTTTGAAATTTTTGAGACAGAGCAGATTATTTGTATTTGCATGGCACTTTCTCAAATGTGTTAGTACATCAGCAAAGACTGATGACCTATATTTGCAAACCTGGTACACATAGAGCATCTCTCCAAGATTATGATCATCCTTTATGTTTTGTAAGAGAGCTTGATCTGTTTCAAATGGCAATTCACAGATTTTACAGGGAGAATAAGGCTCTTTGGTAGTATGCACTCTGTCAATGTGACACTGTAGCTGGAAGGGCTTGGGGGAATTTCTGGTGGCAATTGCCGTCAGATGGTGCCCTTTACCAACTTGTTACCACTCTGCTTTTCAAATTCCAAATGGTACCTCATGTGCCTCATAAACATCACATTTATTAGAACCTGATGACATCTAGAGCATTTAAAAATTGTGCGGGTCTTCGGCTGTGGCCGCCCATACTCCTCATAACGTCCATAATTAAAGTCATTAACTAACAGGGTCAGATTTCCTTTCTTGGGATCAAAGTTCTTGTTTTGTATTGTATGGTTTGAAATGTCTGTTTTTGCCAATACATTTGTTCTATCAAGATTTAAACTGATTGGCTTGAAGTGGACACTATCTTTTGGAAAAGCTGTTGGTGACTCACTCTGAACAAGGTTTAGACAGGCAGGAACACTATTTAAAGGTGAACTTTGCTGAGGATTCACTTTATAAAAATTGCCTGGAGGAGGCAAAGCTGAAGAACATCTTTCTCTGTGTCTGTCATTAAGTTTTGGCCTTTTGGGATTGATGCTACTTTCTTCAGAAGTGGAACACTGGCGCTTTGCCACATGAGGACTTTCATTTACACCTCTTACTGAAAATGTTGCTGTTACTGGATGATGCCATGAACTTGTGAATGCAACCATGGGATAAAACTCTGAGGACCTAATGGGCATGGCTTGTGGTGAATCATTTTTATAACCGGTTTCAGACAAAGGCTCAGTAATAATAGGACCACTTGCTGATATTAATTCAGATTGACAAGTTGTTTCTGACGTTGGGAACATATAATGTGTAGGCTGTGATTTGTGTGTGGTATCTTTCTGAAAGTGGTTGAACATTTTTCTCCTTGAGTATGAACCTGGGGTGACTCTGTTCAAAATTTTGGAAATGACTGGTTTTGCCTTTGAAATTACCCCAACGAAGACTACCTCTGCATCTTTATCCTCTATTTGTTGGGTTTCTTTTGAGCTTTTCTTCAGTTCTGTTTTTTGTTCTTCCACACTTAACAAGCATAGTTGATCCATGACAATATTTCTATTCTTGCAAAGTGGGGTCACAAGTCACAATGCTGTCACCTATGAACAAAACACACCACACATCAGTCAGTATGCAAAATACATTGTCTTATTCAATTCTCCCCAAACTTTGAGATGATTATAATGTCATTATTTTATGAAAAACAAAATTGAGGCTCAAGGTAAATTAAATGACAGTTTAAAAATTAGAAGCCAACTAAACATACATCATGGTGATATTATCCTAAAGCATAATGTAATTATTCTTTTCTTCACCATGCTTCTTGTCCAACACTGGAAAACACAGTGCCAATCACTATACAGATGATGAGTGTATGAAGTTTGGAGTATAGTGGTATAAATATAATTTACAACTTCAAAATTAAGACTAATAACTTGTCTACATGTAATGTCCAAAAAATATAATGTTGGAGTCAACATTGCTTGTACATATAGATGTGGACTGTATACATATAGTTTTAATTACATAATCCCCAGATGATGACTGTTAGCTCAGTGTTTTCCACCTAAATTGTATGACATTTGAGAACAGAAAGCTCTATATATGTGAATTTTTTTGGTGCTTAGCAGATCTTTATCAGCATCCTTGGTCTTTATCCAATAGCTACCATAGCAGTTCCCCAGCTGTTGCAATCCAAAATGGCTCCAGGTATTACCATTTTTGTTTTTTTTTGTTTTTTTGTTTTTTGGGTCCAGTCGTGGGGCCAGAACTCTGGGCCTGGGCACTGTCCCTCAGCTCTTCAGCTCAAGGCTAGTGCTCTACCACTTGAGACACAGCGCCACTTCCGGCTTTTTTCTTTTTGCTTATGTGGTGCTGAGGAATCGAACCCAGGGCCTCAGGCATGCAAGGCAAGCACTCTACCACTGAGCCACCTTCCTAGCCCCCATTTTTGTTTTTTACTGTACTGGGGTTTGAAATCAAGACCTTAGGATTGATGACAGATCAGACTACTTGAGCTACACCTCCGGCTGAGTAAGGCATTTTTACTCTGGTATGATGGAAATTTGTGGTGTTACATAGTAAAATATCAGCAAACTTCACTTTCAAATGAATTTTTCTGTGGATTTTCACCTATGTAATTTTCAAAAATAACAATACGATAATCAATAATATAAAAATAGAAATAATGGGATAGTATGAACAATTCTCTATTAACGAATTAGATACATTAGATAAAGTGGAAAAATTCAAAAAGACACAAAGTGTGAACTAACTACAAAGGACATTCAAGCTCTGGTATCTGCATCAATTAAAAAAATTAACATTAATGTTGCAGAAATTGAACCAAAAAGTAGGAGAAAACTTTGCAACTCATTCTGTGAAGCAATAATACGCTAATAACAAATTTATAAAAGTCACGATCTTATAGAGGCAGTATCCTAGCAGGGACAGGCACTGGTGGCTCACACCTGTAACCTTAGCTACTCAGAATCCAGAGACCTGAGGTTCATGAAACCTAGCCTGAGCAGGAAAGTGTGTGAAACTCTGATCTCAGATTAATTACTACAAAAACTGGAAGTGGAGTGTGGGTCAAATGGTAGGGTGTAGCCTTGAGCACAAAAGCTCAAGGACAGCACCCAAGCCCTGAATTTAAGCCCTGGACTAACACACACATATTTTTTAAAAAATTCCTGTGGCTGGCAAACCCTCAGAATGGCAGCATGGCTGGAGTTACAAACCTGGCTTACTTCTTCAGTTATTGTTTATGTTCTAAGTCAGAGCCTCACTATGGAGCTCAGGTGGCCTGAAGTTCAAGATCCCCTGTGCTGGGATTATAAATGTGTCCACCTAGCCAGGCTCTTGGAAAGTGATAGTTACCACCACTTGGCAAGGCAGAATCTGGCCTGGGCCAACCTCAGGAGCCACGTGACCTCTTCCCAGAGACGTGTCTCGAATACTGGGGAGGAGTGGACAAAACCCGGCAGCGGTGGAGACTGCGGAGGCCTGGTCCCAGGTGTGGCTGGACCCCCTCCTCGCCCTCCTCAGAGGCTGCCTCATGGGAAAGACCACTCAAGCCATGGCCAGTATGTGAGGCATCCCTGCCAGATACGAGGGCTATAACTATGGGCCCTCCTAGCTCCTCTCCCAAGGCATGACGGGTCACGTAGTGCAGCACAAACAACGACACTTATGTCTAGAATCTTCCTCAAGTTCTGGCACTGCTCACAATAGCTTTTCATGCCTTTGCACTCCCTCTGGCTGCCTGTGATTGGCTTCTAGGGAGGTTCATATGGGCGGGACTCCAGGTGCTGTAATCTGATTGGTTATGAACACCGTCACCAAGACCAAGTCTAGAGCTGACCTCAAGTTCTGACGTCACCAATAATGGCTTCTTTGCCTCTGCACACTCCCCGCTCATCTGTGATTGGTTTCTACAGAGTTCGGTGGGCGGGACTCCTGGTGTTATATTCTGATAGGTTGTGAGGTAGTTAGGGCTCAGGGCCAAGAGTCCCAGACTAAGGGAGAGTTTGCCCAAGACTCCTCCAAGCACCCCATGTGTGGTCCTTTTTCAATAAAAGCACTAGGTAGCTAATTCATATCTAAGGAACCTGACTGTGGTAGAACTTACTGAACAGAAATCTTCAGATGTTGTAATAACCAGCGGCCCCATAATCAGCTTGGCCACGTGGCCCACTGGAGTGGGCGGGGCATGCTGTAGAAAGGGAGGGGGCATGCTGCTGGAGGGGGTGGGGCCTCAAGCTGCCCATTGGAAGTGATTGGACAGTGGGCAGCTTGGGGGAGGAGCATGAATGGCTGTTGAAAACGATTAAGCAGATGAAAACGAGCGTCCCGTTGACATGGGGGGGGGCGCAGCCTATATATGGGCTGTGTGTTACAAGTGGAAAGAGAGATAGAGAGATGAGGGGAGTGGAGAGAGAAACAGGGGGAGGGGAAAGCCTGCTGGAGCAGAGTAGAGCAGGGTAGGCCTGTGGAGGGCAGGGCAAGCCTTGAGAGGCCATTTGGAACCTCCTTGACTGGTCATTTGGGGCCTTCTCGGGAGGCCATTTGAGGCCTCCTCCGGAGGTCATTTGGGACTTCCTTGAGAATCCATTTAGTACCTCCTCCAGAGGTCTTTTGGGGCCTCCGGGAGGGGCCATTTGGGTCTTTCCTCTAGAGAGGCCTGTGGAGAGGCATCTCCCAGAGCAGAGCAGGCCCATGGAGAGTGGAAAGGCCTGCAGAGAAGGAGCTTTGGAGCTTTGGAGGTTTGCAGACCAAAGGCCGGGGCTTCCCATTGGAGGCTTGGAGGTTTGGTGGTCAAGGCTGTTCTTGGTTCTGGCTATTTAGTCCAGGACGAGGTAGCTGCAGGCCCCCTTTCTGGTGTATTTTTTTTTGTTATCTTTAACCATGCCTCGATGGATTGTCTCGCTCTTTAGAGGTCATAATTATGTAATGTGTAGACTTGTTATTCAATTAGAATGCTATCAAAATTAGAAATTGATAAAGCAATCTATTAAATTTAAAAAATAACTGCTGTATAATACTCTGAAATAAACATATTACCAGGTTTGGGGACATAGAAAAATTGTAACGGAGAGGTAAATTTACAACATTAAATACAAGCCAAAAAGACATTTATCTGAGGATGTTGAAAATTGGAAGCAAGAAACACTAGGTAATGGCTCCATGTAGAGCAGTTGTCCAGCAAGTGAGAGGCTCAGCACTGCCAAAATAAATACAGAGGACCATCTTGTATTTAAAGAATCCCCGGGACTCCAATCCCAAATTACTTAAGCTGATTCAAAACTTTGGCAAAGTAGCAAAGTATAAAATTAACCCTCAAAAATCAATGGCTTTTCTGTATGCCAACAATGAGAAAAGTGTGGCTGAAATTAGGAAAGCAACTCCATTCATAATAGCCCCACAAAAAATAAAATACCTAGGAATTAACCAAAGAAGTGAAGGACCTCTATGATGAAAACTTCAAAAACCTGAAAAAGGAAATCAAAACAGAACTTAGAAAGTGGCAAAAACTCCCATGCTCCTGGATTGGAAAGATCAACATCGTGAAAATGGCAATACTTC